TTATTTTATTTCAAATTAGATCTAATAATTTTCATGGATTTAAAATTGTTATCTTTATTTGAGACAAAGGATAGAAATTGATGTATTTTATTTCAGATAATTTTCATGTATTTAAAATTGTTATCTTTATTTGAGACAAAAGGTTAGAAATTGATTGTATTTTATTTTATTTCAAATTAGATCTAATAATTTTCATGGATTTAAAATTGTTATCTTTATTTGAGACAAAGGATAGAAAATTCAAACAAAGGTTAATATTAATTGATCATATTTTATTTTAGATTAGACCCAATAATTTCACAGATTTAACAAATTAATGAGACAAGATAAAAATTATTATTATTGTTAATTAAAAAAAAAATTAGTCTTTTTGAAAATGTAGATAGATTTGGCTAATAATTCGCAATTGTTCTAAACAAACCATAAATAAAGCCACATATATAATCTATGGTTAAAAATAAATTTTATTTTTTCGTCCCGTGTAACAAAAACTAACAACCAATCAAAATTCGAAAACTTAGTCATGTGTGTAATATATCACGTGCAACCGACTTATCGCGACTAATTTAATTATACTCGGACTAGGTGGCTGACCAACTTAGCTCTTATCACGACTTTATATAGATTGACCGACTTATTGAATTTTTTTAAATAGTAAAAAAAGGGGGCGGAAAATTTTGGCCGAGTTAGGCCAAAACCGACTTATCGCATGACTGACTTATCAAGTTTACAGTGTGTGAATTTGTTTGTGGGCGCGTAAGGTTGTGGGCAAAACCTCTTAATGACTGTTGAAACTCTGTCAAAACTCTAATGAACAATTAATGTGTAACCTGTCAAAACTATGATGATTGGTGAAAACCCCAAATGCGAAACTCTGCCAAAACTCTAATAAACAATTAATGTGTAACCTGCTGAAACTCTGTCGATTGATTTCTGGAGGAGTTTCTCCCACAACCTTAATTGTGACACATTAATTATTATTATTTTTATATATACACAAAAAAAAAAAATTTTTTTAAAAAAATAACAAAAAAAAATTTTAAAATGAAATATTATGGGCAATGCCCTGAAGAAACTTTATAGTTGTACTGTTTGAATCCGTATTTCATGATTACGATCTTGTGGTTTCTGTGGGGATCGTGGTGTTCCTCACAAGACCATTTCTATGTCAAGTTCAACTTTACTTAGATTGTCAGTAAAGTGTCTTGTTGGTAAAGTGTCCTGTCAGCAAAGTGTCCTGTTGGTAAAATGTCCTGTTGGTAAAGTGTCCCAGACCCAAATTTGCATATGGAAATTCTGTACGAATTATAATTTTTATTGCTATGAAATGATTAATATTAAGATATGGAATTATTCCGGAAGAAATTGTAAAATATACTAGATACAGAAATTTGCAATTTTCCATACACGAGGTTTTATTTAAAAAACGTATCAAATTAACTGAAATTACATATACTTGATCTATTACTATAGAAATTTTTATATGGAAATTCCATATGAATTACAATTTTTATTGCTACATATGTAAACTCGATAAGTCGGTCATGTTGGGGTGGACCCCTGCGACCGACTTATCGAATTTCACATGTTTTTTTAATTTATTAAAATAAAAAATGTTAACATTGAAAATATATAATAATAAACATTGAACTCCCCTTTTTACTGCCACCTTTACTAGATGATCCTTCGGTGCTCATAATTATGGTTCTATAATGTGTGTTTTGAAAGGTTAATGTTAAGTATTTATTGTAAACAATTACAATTTTTTGAAATTTTTAAAATGTTTATTTATTATTTATAT